GTTTGATGCCGATATCGCTAACATCGATATCGAAGAAGATGATGCCAGTGAGAGTGCGGAAGCCCTCACTGAAGAAAAGGTTGATATTGCTGCAGTGCACTCACAGTGCACTGAAGCTAACGAGTCATCAGATGAGTTCATACTGGCTCGTGAAACGGTAGTCCGTTTTGTGCAAGACTCCATCGCCGAAGCGGTGGACAAGCAAAAGCAAAACGCTGACAAGAATGGAAGGGCAAACTCTCTATTATTTCATAAAGGTGACTTTGTCCTACTGTCTACGGTTAACCTACCAAAGCATGTAGTGACTAACTTGGGTACTAGTAAACTTCTACCCAAGTACATCGGCCCATTTCGTGTATTGCATCGCCTAGGCAACGCATACACGATCAAATTGCCACGTAAGATGCGAACGCATCCCACGTTTTACGTTGGTCGGCTTAAGCCGTACCATCAGTACGCTGCTTTTTCCGATGAAGAACGTCCTTGCGCTCAAGCATCTCGCAGAGAGCCTTGTGCTCCCGATGGTGGGCATCGACAAGGGTCTGAAGAGCATTTATCCCATCCCGAGTCCGATCAACATTCCCACGAGCTACCCTTAGCTCGTCACGCAGAGATGTCAGAGATCTCTCGTTCTCAAGCTGAGCAAAGGCAAACTCAGCTCGATGCTTCAAGACAGTGTCCGCCATTTGGAGACGCCTATTCCGCTCATGTTCGAGATAGTTGCGTAACCCTTGCGTTACGCGATCAAAGAAGCTCTCGGGAACACACCGATCCACATGATCGTGTGGAGAGCGTCTTTCCTCCTCCTCCACCTCCATCAGAGGACTCTCGCGGTGTCCAGCGCTATCTAGTTGAGCAGCTGTTGAACCACCGCGACGTGAACGGACGTCGGACAAGTCATCTCGTCCGGTGGCGCGGCTATCCCCCGTCCTGGGATTCTTGGGAGCCCCGCTCCCAACTGATGGTTGACGAACTGGGTCTGGTTGAGCAGTACGATGCGGCACATCATGTGCCGCAGAAGGACCGCCGGAGAAAGTCTTCCCGGCACGGTCGTACAGGGATTTCAGATTGTCAATCCCTTCGTACATCTCAGTAGAGATACGTACGCGCCACCACGGGCTAGTAAGGAGGTAAGCCTCCTAAGGTGCTTGTGCAGAGTTGTTCACACAACATGGGCACGAGTCTCCCCATGAGAGGCAGGGTAATCCTTTCTCCCTTGACAGACGATGCAGCTTGTAGCGTGCACCTGTCTGGGTTCGCTTTTCAACTTATCACGAGCTTTGATAAGTTTGTCGTTCCAAGCGTCACGACCTACATCCTCAAGGTTATGGATGTAGGCGTTCCACGCTTGAAGTAGTGAGGGACCATCACGCTTGTGATTCCCACTGTACCATCGATGTCTAAAGAAAGCATCGATGAAGAAATCGTTCTCAGCGCGATAGTTCTTCGCGCTGGGGTCAAGGTGATGGATCCTTGACGAATCGAACAATCGTGTTCGATAACGATCACTCGTCGTCGCCGACAAGTGATCCATGACGGATTTGGGAGGCATCCATGCCTTCTTCTCGGGAGCAAGACGCAAGACATTGCGGTCCCGCTCTTCCTGCGATGTGCCGACAGAAGTACTGGCACCTCGTTGCGTAGTGGTGTCCATAGGAGAACCGACACCACTGTTAGCGCCCGAGTCTCGCGACCTCGAGCGCCTTCGCTTCGGCGATGGTTCATCTGATTCATCAGATGAACCAAAGATGCTACGACGCAAAGCATCATCCATGCCACGCTTGGCAGGCGGCTTGGATTCGATCGCCGTCGATACGGATCCGTCTTCCGTATTAGGAGAGTATGAGACACCGAGCTCATACTCTGTGAAGACATGAGTGTCTTCATGACCAGCGCCTGCATCACCAAGTGACACAAGCTGAGTCGCTTCGGCAACCGATGAGACATCAGTTGCTGTGGTTTCTGCTTCGGCGTCCGCACAGAGACGTGCGGACGCGCTCTCGGCGGCCTTGCTCGCGCATCGCATGGGCTTGTTAACCATGCGATGAAATGTTGGAAAGTGGACTCGGACCAACAAGTGCAAACCCCGTCCCAAATGATTTGGGACGAGTATCCATTCAGTCAATCAGTCACTAAAGTGACTGATGGTTAGGGGGGGGGTGATGTAACGGGGTGAATCGTTACATAACAATTTATAAGAAATTGTTAATAGAATATAACTATAAGAGTTATATTCTCAGAATATTGTCACAAGGACAAATATTCTGTAGCACTTACGAGTAGTTCCTAATTGGTTGATATAGGCCATTATATCAACCAACGAAGACGCGCCACGACAGACGCACGCATTGAGTGGTGAGCAGATAATTGATTTACACATTTGTATTTAGACATAGTTAGATGAAGATAAATAGGGATTTATTGCAGACATTAACTATTATAAATACAGTTCTACATTTTACTTTAACCAAGTACTTGCTTCTTCTTACCGTCTTCCTCTGCACGTACGAGTGTACGTGAAGTTACGAGGCACCGCCTTATTCTGTCATCATAATAAGTAGCTTGTACTGTCACCAGTACAAGCTTCAGGGTGCCCCGTTAAATTACCGATACGTCGCGAGTTGTCTTCCCATCGCATCCAACGGACGCTATCTTTCTCATGAATCATTTTAATGTCCACCAACTGTGATCCTCTTCCTTCTCGTACACGCTCTTCTCATACTTCTCCCTGCTCTTAAGCCCTTCTAGCTTTGTTTTCGTGCAACGGCTCTCGCGTTCCCGTTGGATTTGGGTCTGATCGTTATGATAAAAATTGGTAAGGGCCAACGAAAAGTCGCTTATATGTCCGCGGGTTTCCAAGCGTTTCTGGCAACCGCCTGATTGTCGCTTCCTCTGGTGTCACTCTTGATATTAATGTACTTATCCGCTTCATCGTTGGTTGTGCTGGTATCTTATTTGTCGTTGATTTCGTGATATCTGGGTTCGCCGTCGTTGTAGACATTACGTTCTCTGTTTTTGATGGTGTTATGATCTTATCTGTCGTGGCTGTAGACGTTTTAGTGCTCACCCCCCCATTGTTCATTGGTAGCGCCTTAGTCCTCATTTAACATCTGCGTCGCCGTCCAAGTCCGATTTGCCATTGCAAATTCCTGCAGTTCAATACCTCAATTTCCCTCTGCGCGCACATCCACGTCTTCGACTTAGAAACTGCCCATACCTGAGAATATGTCTGAGTCTTCCCCATATATCTAGTGCATGTTGCCTCTCAGCGAAGTGGCCTCACATTGAGATGACAGGATCGCCTTAGCAGCGTGTGTCAAAACACGATGTTATAGAATCCAAAATCGTAAACAAAGCCTTGTTTCCGTAGTCGTTGCAATATTTAACAAGATCAATACAAGTCCTAACGAGACATGGAAAAATGTGGGATTACGCATGGTCACGATAGCTTCGAGTGGTTCAGGTCGGTCTACATTATTTGTAGCTGAAGACAATTGCCCGGGCCGATATGCGAAGAGTGTAGCAGGGATTAGCGGATCAAACATACACTTTAAATCCTGCCACAACGGCTATTTACCAACTGTGGTAGATTGACGAGCATAAAACATGTGTAGTAGCTTCCACAGTATCTGCTAGCTAGTATTTTAGTATCGGCTGCCAAGCCCCTCCTCGATCTGTTAGCGATAAAGCCATAAGTGATTGCGCACACGGTGGTAGTCAAACTCCCCGGCGACATTTTTATGCCCGTAAGTAAGTCACACGAAAGCCATCACAAGATAGATCGATGCGATCGAGCGAATAGCGCCAATCAGTCAACGCCTTTGTCAGCGAAGACCCACTCGACAACGTTATTACCACCAGCAATATAGCAGCATCACCGCCACCACCGGCATCGGATTTAGAAGCGAATGCACCTACAGTAGTTAAAACGGTGTATAGGGTGCTGTCCGCCTCGAAAAGGATACAACAATCGATCTCAAGCATAGATGTTTGGAATTGTGCAGGCATTTCAATTCCTTGTTTAAGCTCGCACAACATAATAATGTATCAGAACCAGAATGTAACTTTCTCCTCTTCCTCAATCAATTCCACGTAATCAATTACACTTTGTTGGTGCTGTAGGTTTGTCTCACAAAAAAGGTCAGTCTTCGTCTACGCACAATCTCATCCTTTCTGTACTACACATCAAACACTATTGCGAATGCTCTATGACACAACAACCGCGGCAACACTTTAGTGGTTGTACATCACATTGCATAGCCCATCCTGCTGCCATCAACTTTAACCATACGTGATGTCCAAAGTTAATTCAATTCTCTAGAATGGATTAATTTATCAGCTATTGCGCGAGCTTTAAAGCTTGCTACTTTTACCTGATAGCATTTACCGACAATTAATGCCGTATAACGGACACGACCCTCGTCACATTGATGATCCAGCTTGGTGCATCGACGTTGACATCGTCTTCCAGATCCTGGTTGATTTCCGGATGCTCTAAGTCAAATACATCTATCATGCATGCATGAGCGAACGCGGCAACATTCGTCGACGGAGATGCTTGTACCTCTGCCTTGATAATGGGATTGCAAGTTGTTGAATCGAATAGAAAAAAGAGATGATTAGATGCAGCTGTAAAAACGATAAAATAAAGCTGCGCGTGGGCCGCGTCAAGAGCATCTATCTTGTGTACAACACATTTATTTCAAATGCGCACTAAATCACGACACGTAAAATCGGTCGACGGTGTGCTATGTTCTGTCATAACGCAATGCGTCGATTGCAAATCGTAAGTATCAGTTGAATTTCGATACCATTATCGGCATAACCCTGACTGCATCTTTTTTTTTATTCTCCATCTGGATAACCCCCAATTGTGACGTACCCCTTCGTCGTACGCACGTATACATGCACACATACGTGCCTGCATACACGCGTCTATCGTAAACTCGATCATTGTCCAATCTGCCTCGTCAAGCTCAAGTGCACGTGCTCATTCACCCATGAGCTCCGAAGCGGCTGACAACTCGAGTCCTCTCTCGCCTTCGTCGAACCAATCCGCCAAGACGGTGTCAATGGCCAAGACCCCTCTCCAAAGTGTCCACGAGGCAGCAGAACATTTGTACCCAGCGGTCATTGAGTGGTCCCGCCCCTGCGAATCCGTCGGCGTCACGGGGTCTTTTAACAAGTGAGCCCGTAGTCTACCAACAGTTTTTCTCCTTGCCCCGTCTGGCTGCCGTGTCTCACGTATCGTTTCGTGTCTGACGTGATTGGGGGCGGGGTTATCTTGTCTGTGTGTCTGTCTGTCTGCTTGGTTGGTATCCGATTGCAGTTGGGGGTCCCAGCTTTTGCTCAAGAAACAGAGTGAAGCGCCCGTCCTGTTCCGTGTCAAGCTGTGGCTGCCAGTGGGTACGCACTTGTTCAAGTTCTGCGTGGACGGCGCGTGGCAATACGATCCTGAAGTGACGTTCGCTCCTGATGGCTATGGCAACCTCAACAACTTCATCACCATCAGACCCGACGTGGACCCACAGACAAAGGAGAAGCCAATCCAGCGAGCGATTTGCACGATGATTCGGGACGCAGAGAATGGGCTGCCGGTGATGAACCCAGTGGCTAGTGAAGAGATCATGAGGCTCCGACTGCAGACGCCCCATGTACTGCGGCCACAACGGTCTCCTCGACATCATGAAGAGACTCAAGCGGACTTGACGCCGAGACTGACGCCGCTGACAGCTCCTCGGAAACCTCAAGAGACGGAAGACTCTGAGTACGGTATTGAAGTGAGTGGACGCCGCACGAGCAACGGTAGCTTACTCGGTAGTAGCGGCATAGCCCGGCCTCGAGCTGGCACGTTGACGAGATCCAAGAGCGAGGAATTACTGAGTCACGCCTTGGCAAGCAGTACCTTGGCTGTTGGAGATGTGGCAGGCGCTGCTACGCCCAAGTATACAAACTACATGGACGACGCCATCACCAACTTGGTGCTGCTGGCGGCGACGACGCAGCACTTTGGCGGCGATCTCGTGACGCATGAACATAACACCCGTGCCCAATTGGGCGGACATCGCTCTGTGCTGGTGAGTGGACCTCATACTGCAAAGCAGACGGCTGCGCCACCGCAGCAAAGCAGGGGGAAACTGATTATTTTCCTCGTGGGTTTGCCTGGCCGAGGCAAGACCCATATTGGACATATCCTGGCGCGCCACTTGACGTGGATGGGACATCAATCACGCACGTTTAACACTGGAGAGTACCGTCGAAAGCTTGTTGGATCGAACGTGGATCACGCATTTTGGGACCCTTGTAACGAGGAATCGTTCCGGATCCGTTCGGACCTGTCGAGGAAATGTCTTGACGACTCAATTGCTGCGCTGGAGAGCAACGACTGCGACTGTGTCATCTTTGATGCTACAAACGTGACGCGCGAGCGCCGTCAGATGCTGCTGGATGAGGTGCACCAGCGGTACAAGTGCGAGATGATGTTTATCGAGTCTGTGTGCGACGATCCGGATCTGATTGCGTCTTCGATCAATGAGATGAAGCTGAACTCGGCCGATTACGCTGGGAAGACGATGGAGGAGGCTGCTGAAGACTACAATAACCGCATCAATCATTACCAGTCGCTGTATGAGCCGCTTGCAGCAGACCACGAGGGTGCACCGTTCATCAAGATCATCGACGTAGGTCGACAGATTTTCTGCAACCAAGTGTATGGCTACTTGCAGTCGCGAATCATGTTCCTGATGGCCAATTTGAACTTGAAGCCAAGACCGATCTGGCTGAGTCGTCACGGCGAGAGCATGTACAATGTACAAAAGCGTATCGGCGGCGATGCACCTCTCAGTCCACTCGGCGTGCAGTATGCTGAACAACTTGACCGGTTTACTGACGCATACTACCCGACGCCTGACACAGAACTCGCAGTTTGGACGTCAACGATGCTGCGCACCGGCATGACGGTGGAACGCATTGCAGCCCGTGGCCGATCGATTGTGAAGTGGAAACAGCTTGATGAGATCGACGCTGGTATCTGCGATGGTATGACGTACGAGCAGGTGGCCGAGGAGATGCCGGAGGAATACCTGGCGCGCAAGAACAACAAGCTGCACTACCGCTACCCGCGTGGCGAGTCGTACCAGGACGTGATTCACCGCCTCGAGCCGGTGATTACGGAGCTGATGCGAATGGACCAGCCCGTGCTGATCGTGGCGCATCAGGCTATCCTGCGAGTTTTGTACGCGTACCTTACAAACAGGTCGCCGCATGAGTGTCCTACGCTCAACATCCCGCTGCACGTAGTCATCCAGATCACACCGAAGGCTTACAAGTGTGAGGAAGTGTGGCACCGCCCCATGTAGAAGAGACCCCGTCCGGTCATTCGAAAGCGCTGACGCGTTTGCAACCTTACTAGCACCATGTCATCGTCCTGCGTTATGCTTTCGCTTATCACGTACGAGCAGAAAGACCCAGAATGTACACCTCTAATTGATTGTCGTCGGTGCCAGTCGTTTGCTCGTCCAGCTTGCACATGAGTTTTGTCTCCTTCTCCACGAACTCGAGGAAGTTGTCAACACCGTCTTGATTGCGACGTTCAACACACACGAGCACTACACACTCGGGATTCGCCCCACACAGCAGCTCCATCGTCTGCGCCAATGCCTGCCAAGACGTACCATAAAGCGGCTCGTAGATGCAGTCGCACGACAGCACCACATCCACTTTCTCGTCAGGGTACTGAGCCAAATACTCCATGGTCTGCTGCACGCCCCAGCTTAGCGGTCTCGCCACGATTCCTTCCTTAGCATCGACAGTTTCGTCGGCCTCTACAGCTGCATTAGGGTGACGTAGTACCTCTTGGTTGGCTGCCAAATTCATGTGCAGCAGACGCAGCAGCTCTTCCTGCTCTGTAAGCACCACGTGCTTGGCCCCTGCTATTCGAGCAGCCATACCTGGCACACCGCTACATCACAGCACCGTAACCACTCGTTAGTTTAGGCTGCTCCTACTGCAAAAGAACAGCCAGAGGGGTTCAAGCTCCAACGCACATGCCAGCACCGAGTTCGAGGACCCGCAACGAGTTGGTCGGATCTTCCAGTTGGCAGCGATATCGGGTCAAAACACGACGGGTCAAATGCACTGCAGCGTCCCATAGGATCGTGCCCGCCTACGCTGCTCCAGAAAACAATGGCGCGAGCTCATCTTCTTGCTGGTAGAGAAGGAGATACACCACCAACAACACCGCCACCAACAACAACAACCAGAAACAGTATTGACATCGTTCCGAGTCAGGAATCCGTAGTTGCACCACCTTTTGACAGCATTTCGGGTGCGACACCCTCACATCCGTCCATGAAGACGTGGTCGAACGTTTTTCAACTGCGTACCATAACCAAAGTCAAGTGTAAGTCGTGACCGAGCACTCGCACACGAGTTGAGGTCTCAACCGTCTCGACCGTCTCGTCGGAAAAAACCTGCACCCAGGTCGACATCTCTCGATCTCTCACTCCCACCCACTCGCACTGGGAACTCTCACACTTTGTGTTTGCCAAGTCACGCGTCCGTCTTTCACCGTTTCGACTGCAGTTGATCGATATTAATTTAGACAGTCGTCCGAGCCAAACAACCCACAAAACAACTCGCAGATTCCGTCGAGCTCCACTTGTGCTTCACGAACGAACCCCATTCGACAAGAGGAATTTTCTCGCCAGTCTCGAGATGAGCCATTGGTGGCGAACTGACGAACTCCGAGCGCTCTTGCAGGCGTGGGAACAATCAGTTCCCGTGCCTCGAGACCGCGACGAACTCCAGCGCCACGACCTCCAGCGGTTGTTCAAGAGCTTTAACGCTTTGCGGCCACGCGACGGGGCGCCCATCACGATTCGCCAAGTCGAAGCCCAGCGGCAGCGACTCGTGCGCACGTTCCTCTTTCTACGGGCTTTTAACATTGAAAGTGCACGGGCTGGACGGCTAACGTGGTTCCAGCTCTCACCTCCGCAACAGGACGATCTCCGTCGACTGAACGGCCGTCTCGGAGCCTTGGCAGCCGTGACCCCGGACGAATTCGACCTGCTAGCACGGATCTGCACACCCCCTCCTCCTCCTCCTCCACCTTCTTCATCCCCATCACCCCCTCCACCTCCGCCGCTATCCCCGTTACCGCTTCCGGTACCAATGCCATTGGAACCGTCGAGTGGAAGCGGGAAAGAGCAAGGACCGAAAGCAAAAGACCGCTCAACGGCGGACGAGATGACAGCAGCGGCTGAAGCGTTGGCGGGGTTGCCAATGTTTCGGTCGAATCAACTTGTGCCACCGGTACTGTCTTCGCTACCGTCTCCTGCTAAGCCATTGAGACAAAAACAGCACCTGCAGCAGCAGGAGGTGCAGTTGGAGCAAGAAGATAAACCACGAGAGATTGATCCATCCGGATCTGACGGTTCGTCGAGTGAGGAGGTAGACCCTGGACGTAGTATCAAGACAAGGGGTCGCAAACAAAAAGAGTCGGACATGGACTACACCCCTCCGAAAGCCAAGAGCAAAGGCAAGATCAAGAACACCTCGAAGTGGTCAAACAGCGACGAGACGCGACTTATTCTGGCGTGGCATCAAGTCGTCACTTCGCTCGCAGACAATGGATATGCTGGATCGTATGCTTCTCGGAACGAAGGCCTTCGACTGAATTCGCTAATCCATCAGCGGTATGTCGAACTTTGTGGCGATGGATGGAGCCCCGCCCGAACGAACCAGTCAACGGGTGCGAAGAAATACGCCATTATGATGGCTTTTCGGTCGCTGCGTAATGTGCTTCGCACGTTGGCATCGATGAGTGAACGACCAAATTGGTTTGGCATGACGCCAGACGAAAGGATGGAGCTGCAAAAGAATCACGGCCACCATCACGAACACACTTGTTTGATCGAAAAAGAGACGTACCAGCAACTTGCCGAGATCGATCGAGCGCAACGAACCGTGTTGACTCCTATTACTAATGCACTCCGTGCTCCATTGACACTAGATGAATTGCTACGACCGAAAAAGGCTGGAAAGAAAGGGACGAAAAAGAAGAACTCGAGGGGTCCTTCGACAGGTAACGTGATGGCCGAACAATCTTTGGACGAGGACGAGTCGTCGGATGATGAGGACAATGCGTCTGTTCGCATTGGTGATAGGAGCGAGCAGTCGAGTCGGGCTCGGCCGGCCAGTACAGCGAGACGTTCTCGTCCAACAGTTGCACGGAAAAATGGTCGCGAGCTGGACGCTGTCAAGCTCACCTCTTCTGTTAAACGTCGTCGAACGGGGTTGAGCGATGCCAAGTGGGTCACGGGGTTGTTGAATGCTCAAACGCAACGGTTCGAGTCACTTCTGGCCGAGTTCCAGGAGGAACGGCGGCAAGAGCGAAAGCACAATTTGGAGATCATTCTTGAAGCACTCAAGCTACGGAATGCGTTAGCCCAAAAGCCGAAGCAACCGTCGCGATTTGCAGAGACGCTGGTGGAGAAGCAGCGCCAGCACATGTTGAAGCTTTTCAACCAGCTGCAAGACGAACGCTCCCAAGAACGCGACCAGGCCCGGATGCTCCTGCGCGAACTACGGCCATCTCGTCTCGTGAGCCAGGAGCAGGAGCAAAACAAGGAGTAAGTGAGTTGCAAGAAGTAGTTGAAGTAGTCGGATTCGGCGCTCATGCTTTCGCCCTTAGTTCTCGTCTTACATTTCGCCGTTGCATTCAAAAACACACAATCATATATGCGTAGGACGTTCCGTTTGGACAATCAAGTCCATGTCGCCCCGATTCAGCTGCGAGCTCGGGTCTCTCGACTCGGTTTTGTATGGAATTTGACAAATTTTGGACAAATCCAGTCCGTAGCCAGTGAGATTTTCGGCGTCCCGATTCGACGCCCAGGTGTCTTTCGGCTGCGTACGCCCCAACACCCCGTCGCTTGTGGGCATCACCCGAACGTCGCAAACCTCTTGATCGAACCGCCTTGACGTGCACAATATGCCGAGTGCAAGTGCGAATTCCAGAGTGAATTCGGCGTGGGGGAACGACGAGTTGTTGCAGCTCGTTCAGGCGTGGGAGGAAGTCGTGGACGAGCCGAAGAACCGACTTCTACTAACTACCGGGGAACGCTCGACTTTGCACGCCCGGTTCTGCGCCATCTCAGGCTCGGACATCCGCAGTCTGTCGTCGGTTACGCGTCAACACCGTCGGGTGTGCATGTCGTACCGATTGATCGTGGAAACCAACAAACGAAGTCGGAAAAACAAGACACCCGGGTGGTTTGATCTCTCGGCAGCCGAGAAGCACGAGCTGCGTCGGGCTTTCACCAATACTGAAAAAGGCACGACGGTAATCACCTTGGACTTGTTTCAACGACTTGACCGCATGTGCGGTGGTGACCAACCGATCGTAACAAAGAAATCGGTGACTAACTTGACGAAGCGGAAGCACCGTCGGAAGGATAGTGTCGAGTTGGACGACGAGTCTATTAATGTTCGTTATACGTGGACCGCACGTGACTGGGCCTTGTTTGTCGATGCGTGGCAAGAGGCAGTGGATGATTTTCTCGATAACGGCAATGAACCGGACGAGAAGGTCAAACTGCCTAACTGGTTGATTCGACAAAAGTTCATTGCACTCGGTGGACCGCAAGACACGTCCGTAGGCTCGATCACGGCCAAGAAACGGTGCATCATTCATTCGTATCACTTTATCTGTCAATGTGTTGCGGGCTTGAATGCATTGGACCAGTCGGATTGGTTCGATCTCACGTTTAACGAACGATTTCGACTACAACGAAAGCTCGTGAGTCCCAAGTCGAGTCAACGGGTGGGATGCGAGATTGACCGCAAGACGTTCCGGAAAGTTGGTGTCATCATGAAGAAGGAGGAAGAGCTCGGAATGGTGTCGGCTCCAGGTCATAAGCGGAAACGGAGTCACAAGAAGAAGTCTCGCAAGGAGTTCATGTCGTCTGAAACTTCTTCAGATTGTTCCTTATCACAGTCACTTACTTCGTTTTCATCTGCTGGCGCTGACGAAGTATCAGAATCGGACTCGCAGGTCCGATATCCACATCGCTCAGCAGTCTCTGAAGATGAGGGAGTGCTTGTGGATGAGCAGGTTGTTGAGGCACTACTTAAGGCACAGAACACGCGCTTCGAACAGCTAATGCATGACTTGCGGGAAGAGCGGATGGAGGAACGTAAGCAGAATCAAGCGATGCTGCTGGAGATTTTGTACCAGAGAACCCCGTCTGAAGATTGTAACCAGAACGTGTCCGACATGGAATCCCTAGTAGAAAAGCAGCAGGAGCAGCTGATGGATCTGTTCTCACAGATGCACAGTGAGCGACAACAAGAGAGAGCGGATTTTCACGCGCTGGTGCGTCAGCTGTGTGCCCTGCCGAGATCGTAACGATCAGGTAGTTTTGTGTTGGGGTGCTCGATAGGATAATATCATAAAGGTCGGATTGAGACAGCACCACTCTCGATCCATCAGCATTACCTTCATCCTGGAAGTGGCGATGCCAGCATTATGTTCAAGCCTGTAATCGTCATCGTCAACGGAGTTTTATAAGGTCATCCCGTGTGGTGTCTATCATGCTGCCGTGAAAGTGTGGAGGGCCAGTAGTCGACACGTGTTGGACATTCGGTGTCGGACTGCAATGTTGACGCTGTATGTGCGACGTCAGTAAGAAGGTATTTGGCAGGACAATGGAAGGATGGAGTGGATGTGAAGGTGGCGGGGTGAAAGCATGGCGACTGCGGTGCAAATAATGAGTAACGGGACACTTTCTGGCCAATCGTGCTATACGAGTCCAGCAAGATCGACATCAATTTAGTAGAGACAGTTAGGGGCGTTGCTGGGTCTGAAGGCTTGAGCGAGGCACCACTTCGACATTGGCTTTCTAGAATTCGTACGTATGCTCACCTCCGAATTCATGTCAGGGTGTAGGTGCTGACGCTATAGTTCAGTGCAGCTTCTGCTACTGTTCGACGATAGATAGAGCAGATATCAACCGTCCACCTTGACATACCTTTTATTGCCAGTGATGGTGTCAACGCATCCCAAAGTTTTTGTAGCAGGTGAACACAACCAAAGCTCGCAGCAGCTAACAACATCAACGTACTTTTACCCTCGAAACACGTTAAAGCCACGTCAAACACGATTAGTGGCGAAGTGATGGGAGACGAAACCCTAACAGTTATTTGCCTCGCTAGGTCATCGATTGCTTGTAAAAGTAGGTGGATCAATCCATGCAAAATATCGGGTGTTTGAGCTGAGACTGTAAGCAGTATTTGGTCACGAGCTTGGAAGGTTACGTATCCCTTATTTGCAGCCAAAGGACAATGGCTCAATTGACGCTGTAAAAGCATCGCTTTCCTCTGGCCAAGACCTGTCTCGATCCTGATTTCGGTTTGACTACAGCTTACCAGACAACGTAGAGTGAAGGGTCAATCGACGGCCGTATGTCAAGCTGCTTTACTACCACCAAGCAGCATGATGGCATTCGAGACATCTGCCTTGGCACTATTTTGTTAGCTACAGTGCAATGTCTCGCCTCATCAGTAGTTGGGCGATGTCGAGCATATTTGTCTACCCGACACCAGAAGCAGCACGTGTGAGGAAGATAAAGCATCATTTGCTCCTAATGCTGTGACGTACCCTGAATGTAAACTTGGCGATGGCAACTAATCACTATCGACCATGTGCTGAATTGATCTATGATACCGACATCAAAAGGGCGCAGTCGTTTCAAGATAGAAAGCGTGAGCACAAATCAATCCACGAGACAGATTAACACATTAGAAATGCGGTATTCCTTCGATACAGTGAACGATGGCCATGGGAGAGAAGCTCTTACTTGCGAATTGTCAGTAAACATTGAGCGTGGATGTTGCCATGAGTTGCAAGTAAAAGTAATGCGATGTTGCATGTTGCCGCATCCTGACTAAGGCGCTACACGTGCAAAAGCTAGGTGCGCGGTCAATCCGTGCATGTCATTTTCACCCGGTACAACAGCTTCTTTGCTAGCATTTTTCGTCATCTGCTTACGTCTCGCGTCATCGTGTGTGAACCAAATGCGCCGCTCAACTTGAACGGCTCTGGAGGGGGCATCTTGACGGTTAGTACATGGGGATAAACATCGAGACCGTAGTAGAATTCAAGGACGTTTTAGGAACGGTTGTGACAGCTTTGACGCTCATGTTGCTAAGCATCTTTATAATATCACATACCAGCACTGCTTACTAGCAGACCAGCAAAGCTTCATCGGAATGTGCGGTCACTGTTGCAATAATGGTTGGGCTTAAGCTCAATTGCAACGCGATGTGGCGGCGCTTGACGAGCAACCGTGTGGTGCGTGTATCGAAATTCGCCTGAATAACTACTAGTGACATGATTATGGAAGTGATCCGGCGATATTGTCAAGCTCTAGGGTGTGCACAACTAAACTAGACGTTGGAATAATACAATTGCTAATTGCCTGGCATCCCAATTAAGCGAACCTAGGTACGATTCACCAAAGTTCGTTTCGATCATGGGACTCGCAACCGCTTGAAGTACTGTGTGCACTGGTACAGGTCGAACAACAACGGGTTTCGTATCACTAGATCGCGAGGTGATAGTGAAGATGGTATGTGCATCCGAATGTATATTCGAGCGCCTCGGTGGTTCAGGTCCAAGAGCAAAACACTACAAACCATTTTATACGTATGAGAAACTTTACACAGTCGACACTCGCTTCGACACGTTACGACCTCTGACAGATACTGACAAGGCGAAGGTAATGAGAAAAGAGTCCAAACGCATACAGTTACCTACTGCCTGGCATTCCTATTGAGCCAACCTAGCTACTACTTTACTGCAGCATGAGCTTTTACTCTTAGCTGGCTACCTGTCTCGTAATACGCAGGTTGCTCCAACGTCTTTTTGCTAGTTGCGAACAGCAACTAGCTTCCAATGTCAAGAAGTCAAGTTGCGTCCCATCGGAGGACCCAACTTGAAACGGAGCATTCGTACACCAGGCTGGTGACGCAAAGCAACCTTGCTCTAGTCTTCATGAGAATCGCCTTCTACGAACATGAAGACGGACGAGAGCGCTTTGGCGTACGTACTCGGCCCCTTGTTCCATTCAGCACTGAAGAGCAAATTCGACTCACACGCACTGCCGAGTCCCGGCACCTTGATGTACCCTGGTTCCCAATAGAAAATACCAGCACCCAGACCGTTTGGCAAGCCCTCTAGAACTTTCATGATGACCTTCATCCAGTCTCTCTGACCTTGCGCACTGATCGCAAGCTTTTCACTCAATGTGACTTTGGTGCATTTCGTGGGCCAATCGGTCTCGGCGACGTAGATTGGTTTCTTGTAAGTATTCGCCACTTGAGTAAGCGAATGGGTGAGTGCTGAAAGTGTTGCGTGTACGTTATAGTACGGGTAGAAAGAGAACCCAAACACGTCCACGTCGTCTGTAGTCAGCGTACCCTCGGCAAAGAGACCTTTGAAAAACCACGACACGGTCTTGTGCTCCCATCCGTTGTCCAAGTGGATCATGATCTTCGGCTGTTTCGTACCAGCGGTCACTGCGTCCGAAACACCTTGGCGCGCTGCTTTCCAAAGCTTCGCGAAAGGTCCGAAGTCATCGTTCGTGATCTTTCCAGTCGGATAGAGAAATCCGCTCGTGATTTCATTGCCGATCGACAAAATGTCGAGCTCGACCCCACCTTTTGTGAAAGCTCTAAGCGTCGAGCTCACATGCTCGCGACATGCCTTCGCCAGCGCATCCACTGACGAATCGTCCCAAGCGGATGGGGTTTGCTGGTCACTAGGCTGTGCCCAAGTGTCAGAGAAGTGCAAGTCGAGATAAATCTTGTAACCAGCCTTTGCATACCGCTGAGCCAGTGGTAGTGTGTAGTTCAAGCCATACTCTGTCGCAGTCCATAGACTGTTTGGCATAAACAGGAAAATTAGCGTGTTCCTAGCAGTCCTAACTAGCAGCTCGTGTTCACAACACTACGTACCGAAGTCGCACAGTGTCCATTCCTCCTTCCCCCAGGATGTCTTCGATGGCAGCTTCCTTTCCTGCAGTGCTGTACCAAATTGTCCCATGCTCCTTCTCCATGAGCAGGGCCGACGACAAGTCGTGGCCTTTTGTCAACGCTTGCACGCCATGGATAAGCAGCGTTCCCGTACACACTCCAAGGCCGAGTATTGCACCGCGAGGGACCATGCTTACGGTTTGAACAATGCAAGGAGCTGCGTTGCTGAATCGACGTGAACAGCTCCCCATCCCCGGTCTTGATCATTGAATATTGACGCATTGTGTGCGTCGGGATCGGTTAGTGCCTGACTCTTTCGCTGGCTCCAGCGCCATAAAAGCCGCTGCAGCAAGACAGCACCATAAGCTCCCGCATCATTACGTACATGCATTAACCGCTGGGTGTTTTCGGGATGTCGCTCACAGATTACGAGACATCTGGATAAGAGTCACGCCCATGTGTGCTGTGAACATCCTGACGTACCACTGTCGGCTCAACAGAAAGACCTGCCACTATATCAACGTACATGACCCCTGCAGTCCAAAACATTTGTGGCTCAGTTCGTAAGGCAGGATCTGGAGCTGGTCTATCATGGCGTCGGCATTTACCGATACTATTGGCATCAGATTGAGTGAAGCGCATTCGGTTGGCGCTAGTTTTCTGGAGTCGATGACTACTTTTGCTGTGCGAAGGCACGAATTGGATGAACATCGCGTTTGCGTCGTTGAACGATAGACACCAGAAGGCAAGCACGACTGCATTGTCAATCGTTTGGACTCGAAGTCTCTCGAGCTATTGTTCAAGTGAGTGCGCATGTTGAGAGAGATTCGACAACTGAAGATAACTTCCAGGTAAGTGCAAGGGGTCTGAGAAAACTTATAAGCGGAAGTTTATCAAGGAGAACCTGCAAAGGGACGAGGTAAGACGGGATGTGCGATCGGGCTAAAAATTCCCAAATCGACCTCATGCGAGCCCATCGTTCAAGTGCCCTCGATGCATCGCCGCTCCAATTGCAGCAGGGGGAGGAAAGGCGGCTACTATTGACAGCCTGCACGTGGGGTCGACTGAGTCTCGAACCACCGCCGATCGTAAAAGCATTCCTGTAGGCAAGATGCGTGTTGCGAGAAGGAAGCGTTAGGTGAACAATAAGATTCTGTTGTATTTCCTTACTAGTTCTCTCTTCTCTGCCATGATCGCCAAAGCCCTCTGCTCCATTCATCCATCTCACACGCATTCTGGCTCTACTCGGGTCACTATCCTGCTTGTCACTCTGCGTCCACCATTTACGCACAGCGAGTTTGTGACATCAGGTTTCCAAATAAACCCCAAGTCACCGGCCGAACACTCCGATCACCGTTACGTACCCTTGCACCCATTTCCAACATTCCAACACTCCTCCTCGGTCGTGACTTGCCCTCAAACCAGTTCCATTTCTTGAGCTTGCAAATGTCCTTGTCCCTGTGCTCCTCCATCCCTGAGCTCCTTATCGCCCTTGATCGTCCTTGACCATTTCTTAACCAATGCGCACGAGTGCGCGCAGTGTCGAGAGCTTCGTCGCGTCCAACGCTTTCGTGAGGAGGTCTGCGAGCATCTGCTCCGATCTGACGTAGCTCGCCGTGATGACGCCGCGACGCGAGTAGTCGCAAAGAAACTTAAGGCGCACATCCACATGTTTTGCCTTCAGCGACGATGCCTCTCCCGCAATCTGCGCGATCGCCGCTTGGTTGTCCACCCGCAACTGCATCGGAAGCGTGGGCTCCACGCCCACTTCGCACAACATCTCGCGCAGGCCGAGCAGCTCGCGCGCGACTTCACTCGCCGCGACAAATTCCGCCTCCATCGTCGACAGGGAGACGCCTCCCTGCTTCCGCGCACCCCAGCTGACGGCCATCCCGTTCAGCATCACGATGCCGCCCGTCATTGACTTCCGGTCCGTCTTGTCGGCGGCAAAGTCGGCGTCGCTGAACGCTTCTAGTCGCATCTCCGCACCTAAATTGTCTTCTGCGATCATCGTGATCTTAAGCTCCGCCGTACCCTTGAGGTATCGCGCGATGCGTTTAGCTAACTTTTAGTCTGCTAGTCGAGGCGCATGGGCTCGTCTCGTGACCTTGTGCACCGCAAACGCTATGTCAGGGCGCGTGCAACGCGCCACCCAGAGCAGCGAGCCGACCAGCGACTGAAACTGGCGCACAGTCGGTCCTAATTTCGCGCTTGGCGTCCCAAGAAGCTCCGCGTCGCTCTCCTCCAACTCGTAGCAGCTGTCGTCGATCGGCGTCCACGTCGAGTTGGCGTCAGCGAGTCCGTTGTCGCGTAAGAGGTCTCTTATGGCCTCCTCCTGATCGAGCGTGTACCCATTCTGACCGTTGTGCGTCACGCGCATTCCCAGGAACTTGCTGTCACGCCCCAGGTCCTTGATCGACAACGACGCGAGGCTTGCAAAGAACCGCTCGACCGCCGCCGCGCTCGTCCCTGTCGCTAGAAGATCGTCGACATACACGCCGACCACGACGAGGTCGTCGCCGTCGCTCTTCCAGTAAAAACACATGTCGCTCTCACACCGCTTGAAACCGGCAGTAGAGAGCTTCGAGTGCAGCAGCTGGCTCCACAGCCGGCCTGCCTGCTTGAGCCCGTAGAGGCTCTTCCGCAGCTCCAGCACCAGCTCGCTCGTGTTCGAAACGCCTTGCGCTCGTAGCGTCTCCTTCGAGACTGGCATGCCGCGCGGCATCTGTAGGTAGATGCGCAGGTGCGGCTCCTTGTCCGCTTTAACGTAGGCGTTGGGGATGTCACCGTGCTTGGCAGGCACCCCCCACGTAGCCGCAAGCGCCAGGATCACTTTGACCGTCGATAGGTCCATCACGGCAGCGAAGGTGAGCGTGTAGTCGACGCCAAGCACCTGTTCGTTGCCACACGCCACCAGTCGCGCTTTCAGCCGCTCGAGGTCGCCCTGTGCATCTGTCTTGGTCTTGTAGACCCATTTTGTGTGCAGCGCATGCTGTCCTGCCGTTCGCCTTGTAATAGTCCAGACGTCGTTGGCCTCGAGCGCGGCGATCTCCTCTTGCATCGCCTTCTTCCACCCTTCGCGCTTTCTGCTGAGCATCGCCTGTCCGTAGTTAAGCGGATCATGCTCGAAAGCAGCATTTACGACTTCTCCGCTCGCGGCTGTCTCCTCCTGACGAGCAGCCGCTTCTGCGCGTTTCAACGCCCCGCGTGTTCCATGCGCCTTTCGCGTCCATCTCTTTCTGCTTTTACACGTCTCCCTGTTGCCCTCTGCGCGACCATCGTTCGCCACTGCTGCTGCTGGCGCGTCCGTCTCCTCCTGGCCTCCGGCTCGATCGCCGATGTCCATCGCGCGCTGGAGTTGCGCGTTTTGCGCCTCCGTCAGTGTCTCAATATTCTTGATGTGCTGCGTGACGACCACTTTATTGTCACGCGGCAGCAGCACCTTGTAGCCCTTGGTTTCCTCGCTGACGCCGACAATGATGGCGCGCCCCGAGCGCTGCAGCAGCGAGTTCTTGCGCGGGTCTCTATACACGCTGCACTGGGAGCCAAAAACGACAATTCCACGCAGATCCGGCGTCTTGCCCGTCAGCACCTCGAGTGGTGACGCTCTCTTTGCGTTAGCTTGCTTAGGGCTCCGGTTGAGGATGTGAACGGCGTATAGTACCGCGTCTCCCCAGAACATCAGGGGCAGCGCGCAGGCAAACATCATGCTGCGCGCAAGGTTCAGCACTGTCCGGTGCATTCGTTCCGCCTTGCCGTTTGAGGCCTGATTTCGCGCCTCCGACACTTGGCGCGCGACGCCCGTGCGCTCGCAGAACAGGTCCACGTTGGCGTATTCTCTGCCGCCGTCCGTGCGGAGCACGTGGACCTTGAACCCGAAAAGCTTCTCGAAGTGGACGAGGAACGCTCAGAACTGCCTCGCCGCAGCGTCCTTCGTGCGCGCGAGGAAGACTCGGCAGTAGTTGCTCTTGTAATCAACGAAGTTCACAAGGTAACGATTGCCGAGTCGGTCCCGCGGCGTCATTGGACCCTTCAGGTCCGAACAGATGACGCCTCCGATGCGATCGATGGGCGAGTGCTTGCCGCTGTCTTGTTGGGACTGCGCGTTGCGCGTCTGCTTGCCCTCGAGGCACGACACGCACGCCATACGCTTGTAGTTGCTGAGCCGAATGCCCGATGCCGGATCGCGCGCCATGCGTTCGATCGTGTCGAACGCAAGGTGGCCGAGTCTCTGGTGCCAGTGCAACAGCGAGGCTTCGTGCGGCTCATCGGCGTTGGTTTCCGTTGCATGCGCTTCGAGCGCCGCCATGATCGCGTCTCCGCCTGCACCTTCCTTGTCGCGCGTGGCCTTCGTCACGACATACAGCACGTTGCTGTCGATTGTGACATCGAACGCGACCGCACCATCTCTGCACCGAGCGAGCGAGCGCCTTTTGCCGGAGTGCACTAGGGCAAATCCTTTGTTGGCGAGCTTGCCGTACGACACAATGTTCTTTGCCAGTCGCGGCGCCAAGTACACATCCGTGAGCGTCACTACCGCTTCGGCGCCGCGCGCAAGAACCTCGAGGCGCACGCTGCCGACACGCGTCAGGTGAAGCGACTCGCCGTCTGCCATCGCAATTTCGTGGCTGCAAGCCGTCGACTTGAGCAGCAGCGACTCGTCGTTGACAAGATGCCGGCTCGCGCCGCTATCGAGGATCCAGTCTCCTCGGTCGACGCCCGTGGCATCGGTCGCCGCAAGTACGAGGCCGCTCGTGCCGTCCGTGGCTCTTACTCCGTCGCTCGTCGTAAGCACGAAGCCGCATAAGTCGTCTATGGTTCGCGCCCCATCACTTACATTGGTCGCTGCGGCGTCCTTGCCGCGCGAGCCCTTCTTCCTCCTGTTGCGCTTCTTCGTGGTCGCTCTGCGCTTCTCGGTCAGCGCAAGGATCATGCTGGCGCCTCCACCCTCCGCGGGTGTCTCGTCTTCGTGCACGACTCGCGCGCGACAGTTGGCTGCGATGTGGCCTGGTCGCCCACATCGGTAGCACGTGATCGCGCCCTTGGGTTTGCCTTCCACGTGCGCGGCGACGACCTCACGACCCACCGCGCTGCTGCCGTGCTCAATGGACTGCGCGAAGTGCGCCAGCTCCTCAGCATGGCGCAGGTAGTCGAGTCGAGTGGGCTCATACTTGGAGCGCATCACGTTCACCAGCTCCGGCGAAGCGTGGTGGACGATGTTATCAAGAACAAGCGAGTCGGCACCACCGCGTGCCTCGCTGACGGCGACCATGTACAGGAAGTGCTCGGCCCAGGTGCGTCGTGCGTCCTTCTTGGCCATGAATAACTTCATCGCCTGGCTTGCAGTGATTGACGTCTTGAACGTGCGCAGGAGCTGCTCCATGATGTACTCCAGTGTGGGTGATTGCGTCCACCAGGTATCGACCTGCTTGTGATAGTACCTCTCAGCCTTGCCGGCGAGAAAGTGCCCAAGCAGGTCGACCTTGACGTCTTCGGTCCATCCGAAACCACACGACGCTTCCGCGAGGCTCACCACGCGCAGAAACGTACGCCCCCAGTCAAAGAATCCGCTCCCGAGTCCGCGGTACAGCTCCGTACCATCGAACTTGCGTATGTTCAACTTCCGCTGGCTAGCGGACGGCATCCCGTAGCCGTTGAGGCCCGGTCGCACATAGGCTTGTGGCGGAGCGAATTGTTGCGGCGGAGGTAGCGCTGCATGCTCCTGCGGAGGTGGCGCAGACGCTGGTGCGCGCTGCTGCAGCTGCGGTGCTGCGCGCGCGCGAGGTGGCTCGAGCGATGCGAATCGCGACGCGCCAAGATCAGTCGCGCGCTGGTACCCACGTGGCACCGGTGCCTTCTCCTCCGCGTCTCCGATCGCGTCTATCGTCATCGGTCGGCCACGCATGTTGGCGCCGAGTTTCGAGGCAAACAGTCCGCTCTCCACGGCCCCGAGCATGCGCTCCTCCTCGTCTCGCACTCTCTGCGACGACTCGAGGCTCGCCAGTCGATCGGTGAGTGCGGCGAGCGCGGCGAGGATCTTATCGTCTCGCCTTCCGCTCTCGCGAGCGGGTCCATCGTTGACGACTGCGGGTGCGGTAGGCGCACGCGCTGGCGAGCCGCGCCCGGGCGTGGCTCGCGGGACACCCCCTGGTGTCTTCGTAGTCGGTTCGGTGGTTGCGGCCATTGGGCTCATAACCTGTAGGCAATATGCGTGTTGCGAGAAGGAAGCGTTAGGTGAACAATAAGATTCTGTTGTATTTCCTTACTAGTTCTCTCTTCTCTGCCATGATCGCCAAAGCCCTCTGCTCCATTCATCCATCTCACACGCATTCTGGCTCTACTCGGGTCACTATCCTGCTTGTCACTCTGCGTCCACCATTTACGCACAGCGAGTTTGTGACATCAGGTTTCCAAATAAACCCCAAGTCACCGGCCGAACACTCCGATCACCGTTACGTACCCTTGCACCCATTTCCAACATTCCAACAATTCCCTAATGACGCTTGCGCGGCCCGTCGGACCTGGAGGCACGATCGCCGAAGCGATGACACGCGAGGCGAAGAAACTACCAATCTTTATATCTCCTCTTGACCGTTCATGCCAACCGTAAACGCGCGAGAGGCATGTCAGAGACAACGCCTCCTTACTTCGCCTTGCTAGGGTGGACACACGCCGTGACTGTTATCGTCATCTTCGCACGAAGTCACGACAGCGTGATTATTATACATAGTATGCTAGATCGAAGACACCGTCCTCCATACGGTCGACTATCAGGTCGCATCTTGCTTTGCTAGTACGGAGTGAGACGTACGCACCAAGTCAAGTGAAAAGCCGTTCTTAGTGCCGGTCCTGTGTTCGCATCGATGTGAAAAGCACAGCGTTTTCTTACGAAACACGTGCCAAGTGATCTGGTGGCTCGTACGTTAGGCTAGGAATGTCAAATGCACTGCATATACTGCATCTTGAGCCGCTAATAGTCAAAGATGCTGCGATGATATTTGTTCGGGCTCGTGCATCGTTGCAAACGAAGTTACTGTTTGAGCGTATCCGGCATTCAAGGTGCGCAAAGTGTGTGGTCCAGCAAGCATAAACGCCCGAATGTTTACGGAACACTAGGCGGAATGAAAGTAGGAAGGAGAGAGTGATGTCGCACATAACGCTATTGTTACTCCTGCGAACAATGAACGGACTCAATTGAAGCCCTTGCACAACCGTGGTGTGCGTAAACCAAGCCGTACGCGCGACTTTACCCTTAAGTCTCATTCAACACGCAAAAAAACACGTACCATTTCACACGCGGTGTCGAATTGAGGAGGAGGCACGTAACCATGAATTGCCACACGTAATCAGTGAAGGGCACGTTTGTAGCGCCAAGAGCTTGACAGTTAAGACCCAATGGTCACTCATGGCTCGTGCACCATCGCCAGTTCGATGAAGAAACTTCCTCACGCGACCGTGCACTTACTCAACTTTGACACTTCTAGGCAAGACCAAATGACTGGCGCTTACCGTCGGGCACGTCCCCGGTGGTAACACGAAGACTCCCACCTGTTCTGAATGCAGATGTGTAGTTTCATGCCGGGAATACTGGTCTTGCAAGTTGCTTGTCGGTCTTCCCAGTGTGTTTTCATCTGCATTCATTCACTTTCATCGTAATTTTACACGCTCCACCGGTCAGCGTCTTACTAAAGCATTCGCACACCCCACTACAGATGTACCAACTACGTTGTCATGGTCCTTGTCATGTGAGCCAGCGACACATTGAGGGCACACAAACTAAGCCCTTCCGCCTTCGCCGAACAAATGATGCCGCTGTCGCAGATTGAAGTGACAGGGTGCAGGTATTCCACTCTCATATCGAGTGCCTTTATTACAGAGATCTCGCACACGTCCCTCGAGGAAGCGTATGCGGCAGTTATGACCTACTTTGACGGCATCCTGACATCTATGAAGCGTCACTTTAATGTCAACGCCGAGCGTCTCCGACTGAACAGTGAGGACTCACCCGTGGTGTGCTGTCGCTCAATGTTCCAAGGAGCAGGGCTTCCTGCCATTGTGAACAATGTCATCTACTCGGAGCTGACGTCTTCACGTGGAATGGCGCACATTGGCGCAATTACTGACGACCCGCTGTATCCCCGTTCACAAAAGTTTGTCGTCCTAGTGTGGAACAGGTGTACTCACTGTCACACCTCAACAGGATGTGGTACCTAGACAACCGACGTCGAGCAAGAAACGTCTCACTTAGCGAGTTTAAATTCACAAGGGTCACTGTGTCATTAGCGAAAGACCTCTTCAAGTCTAACTTCGTCTATTATACCCACGCAGAACATGGCGCCCAGTTATTTGGCTCCGGCTGACCTTGTTTTCAATAATTTGTCGTGCCTTCTTTCAAGGCGTACCAAAGTCACAGTTAGTGCTTCCTCTGACAAAGCGATCCACTGCCTACAAACAGCATTTTGATGTCGATAAGAACATAATGTAAGGTTGGTCTCAGCAGTGTAGTAACGATGTGATGAATTATATCTTGGTGCCACAGGTCCACTCACATATCGAGGAAGTGCATGTCAAGCCGATGATGCAGTTTGTCGACAAAAGCATGAACAACAGTGTCCAAATCGTGTTTGCTGTCATCCAAATGCTACAACACCAATTGCCACTAGCTTTTCTGCACTTACAAGTCATGCAAGGACGCAGATATGGTCGAATTAGAGTCAGACGACGTCCGCGTCGCCTTCAGCAAGACTGTATCGGTGACACTGGGTCGATTGATAGAATCAATCGATCGCGCTCGGCTGTTCCCGCCGATGCGAACGATGACAGCCGTAGTAATCAACTTTTCAGTACAGAAGCTGGTGACACAAACTCGCGCACCGAGAAGCCGCGCTAGGACGAAGGATTATATGCTCATTACGATTACGTCAGTCAATTTAATTACCCTACGTTTCAAATGAGGCCAGTGAGAGATCGCTGGCTCGGGCCGCAAATGGTCAAAACGAAGGTATCAATAGCATTCGTAAATCTTAACTTACCATGTCACATAAAGAGCTCCATCGATCGAATCGCAAGCTTTGCGGTTATCTGGTAGATGGACACTAACCACCTTCAAAAATTGGTAAGATCACGTTTCATACCGACGGATTTAGAGTTTTTTGTAGTCAAAATTACCTGAATTAGGTAGATTCTAACGTGCGAACCCTGTTGGATCACCGATTGGTAAGATCCAATGAGGCTTTATGGAAAGTGTGTATTTGCCGTACAAATGCTGTCGTACAATGTGAAACACACTAGGTATTCTGGTGAGATATTTGGTAAGAGCTTTTGACGATCTTTTACATAACCGTCAGGTTTCCGTGAACTCGTGATAACACGTGTCGCTGGATTACAATGTTGACGACATCAGTCTTACGGCAGCTGTGACGAGGCACCCTTTGCTTCGGAAGCCACGAAATTTCACGTACACTCGTAGGTGCAAAGGAAGCTAATCTACTCAAACAGCTAGTTTGAGTAAAGGTTAAAAAGATAAAAAAGAGAACTGTATTTGAAATAGTTAAGCTATCAATCTAAGTTCAGTCTTTATCGAACTATATTAATCTCTATTGTCGAAACGACGACAATCTGCTTACCACTCATTACGCGCGTCTAGCAGCGATTGGTGGTAATTTTAGTTGACATGTCTTTTGTCAACCAATCTTTGAGAAGCGCATGAATATCATCCAAAGGGGATAATATTTCTTCAAAACTACCTATCTCGGATAATATTGGAAGGGAACTATCACACTTGACAATCTCCCTATTGACACCGTTTCGGGGTCAATATCATGTAACGGGCTAGCCCTTTACATCACCCCCCCAAGCATTAATCACCCGTTGATTAAATTAAATTGATCGGGGACATAGTGATCACCGTTAGATCATTCTGGGAACGGAAGCACTTTTTGATCAAATTCCAACTCATGTGCCAATTCGTCGCATGGTGTCAAAGTTCGTTTGGTGTTCTGCCGAAGCAGCCACAAAGGCGGTTGCACGCATGCGTGCAGCCGAAGATAGTCCTTCTCTTGTTTCAGCAGCAGGTGATCTTTCGCCTGCTGTTGCAAGTGAGCATCCTAAATTGCCTGCTGTAAATAGTCTACGTGGTGAGTCACCACGTGCGACAGATACATCCGCTGCGTCTGCAGCGGGTACTGCGACTCGCAACGTAGATGATTCTGAAATTGATCTCATCTATTCTGGCGAGTCGGATGATGCATCCGACTCGAAGGCGACACCTCCTGCCTCCAGACATCTAGGGCGGACACTGCAAGAGCCAGGTTGACTGGCTCTGGGAACATGGCGGCATCATGTTTGAGATCTTCTGACCTAGCAATTTTTTTTCCGACGACGCCTTGTCTCACGCAAGTCCATCTGACAACAGGACGCTTGGTGATGGTGGTGATGCAACTGAACGTCACCACGAGAAAACAAAATGGATGGATCGAGCTGCTACTGGTGTCAGAGCTCATGCTGACACCACTCCAGAGGCCAAAGACCGAAATGTCCTGCGCAATGCTCCTCAAGTAGAGTTTCCTTGGATGCCGTCATTTAAAGAGTTAGATCGAGTGGCCGGTGTGACTACCGAACGGGATCGAATCCCGTTGTTTGACTGTAGGAGGATCTGTCCTCCCGATTCCAGCAAGGAATCTATTCGTGCTGAGGAAGAATTCTTCATCGATGCGTTTTTTATACACCGGTGGTACGGTGGCAACCGTGGTCGAGACGGCAAGGCCTTGGTGCAAGGATGGAATGCCTTCTTCATCCATAACATCGGGTGTATTGGACGTGAGGCCTGGATCGGATAACTTGATGCAGCTCGCATCAGGTTTGAAAAGCGTAACTTAGTCGTTGTATGATACAAGTTGCACCGACTGTCAAGAGAGGCAAGATTACCATGTCTCTCGTGGGGTGATTCGTGTCCAAGTTGTCTAGAAAACTCAAATCGTGCCCCTAAGGAGTCCTGCCTCCCTACTTTTCTCTACAGGAGGGCGCGCATCTCTCCTAAGATGGCCGAAGGGATAGACACTTTGCAATCCCTGTACTCGCGTTCGGGGAGGTAGTTTTCCTACGGCCCTTCTTCAAACGCAGCGTGTGGGTTCCTTCTTACTGCTTGACGAGACCAAGGACATTAACAATTAGCTGGGCACGAGGCTCCCAGCTGTCCCAGGCCGGTGGATAGCCACGCCAGCGGACGAGATAACTTGTTTGAACGCCCTTCACGTCGCGGTGGTTTAAAATACGCTCCACCAGAAAGCGTTGACCACCGCCAGAATCCACCAAAGGATATGGTGGGAGTGGGAACACCTGATTCGGCTCAAGGGTTGAATCAGCTTGATGTTCAGGAACTGAACCGTGTAGCGGAACAGTTACACTACGACCTGGATCATAAACGGACTCGGCGTTATGAGCTTCAGGATCTTGTAAAGGACAATTACAAGTCCTTAGCGCACGATCGTTCCGACGATCGTTCCAACGATCGTGCCGCGTTTGCGTTCGCGTAACTTGAGAACGAACGTTCGGCTCGTTCTCTTCGTGACGAGCTGACTGTATCTCGTCAGTACATCGCTCAACTGCGTGACCAGGTCGCTTCTCTAGTCGACTAGACTGGCCCGTCGAATGGGACCACTCGAAGGTGGTCTCGTCCCTTGATCGCGAAGGTGTCTTTCGCCTATCGAAACGGGCTCGTACTGAAAGTAAGGGCGGAGACGTTTAACGCAAAACGTAAGATGCGTACGCTCCCTACGAGGCAGTAAAATCGTGTATGCGTTGCCCATTTGGCGCAACACAAGAAATGAGCCGACATGCTTGGGCAGTATTCTACTGCTGGCCACGTTTGGCACCGCGAGTTTTGGTTGATTTACTGTTGACGGTAGTACTATGTCTCCTTCATTTCATGAAAGAATAATTGTTCTACCATGTTTGTCTTTGTTTCAGCAGTGCGCACAAAGCGCACTGAGTTACCAAAGAGGAGTCAGCGTAGGAATTTCTGCTGACTCGCGAAGAGGTTGTCCGCTTCGTTCAAGACTCCATTGCAGGTGCAATAGGTAAGCAGAAAAGAAACGACGTTTTCTTTACCAGTGAGGGCGTCATCATCCTCACTGTGCAGTCATTAACAATGCTGAATATACCAGCATCGTCGTCATCATCATCATCAATATTGATCGCATCGATATCGGCATCCATCATGTCGACACTATTGTCGACGGGTGATGAGCGAGAATTAGATCGGTTTTTGCTCGAGCGAGTTCACCCCCCTTTAACTAGAGTCACACACTAAAAAGGTGGGTAAACGTGGATGGCGTAGGCCATTCACGAAGAATGGTGTATGCGTTGTCGACGCATCTACCGAGTTGTTGATGGCAAATTAGGCCATTGGCAAGAATCCAACTCAACTCGTAAACGAGTAAACATACCCTCGAAGGATATCTTTGAGGATGCGGTTGACGCGTTCCGTCTGACCATCTGTTTCTGGACGTTCAGAAGTTGACATCTTCAAACGTGTTTCAAGTGAACGGAACACGGATTGCCAGAACTCTACTGTGAAGCGGGGTTTCCTATCCGACACAAGTTCACGGGGTAACCCGTGAAGTCGGAAGATAGTATCGATGAAGACACGAGCACAGCCCTGAGCTGTGATTGACTCCGGTACAGCAACAAGATGTACCATCTTGCTGAACCAATCAACAAACACAAGAATACCAGTATTCTTGTGAGCGTCTTTGGGAAACCCGAAGACGAAGTCCATCGATACGGACTGCCAACACTCTGCCCGAATCGGTAGAGGCTGCAAGGTTACGCGGGACGAAGGACTAGAATTTACCCGTTGACAAACTTCGTAAGTGCGAATGTATTTGCGCACAAACTCATACTGGCGGGGCCAGTACAAGTTACGACTTACCGTGAGGTAGGTCTTTTTCTACCACGATGCCTACTTTTTGTTGGGGCTTCTTGACACTCATACATGATGCGCAATCGCAAATCATCATGGGTGGGAACGACGACACGAGGTGTATCGCCGTTGACTGCTGTATAGTACAGCAGTCCATCACGAACCGAATACCGTTTGGTTGAAGAGCGGTATTGAGACGACAAGCTTTTCAAAGCCTGACTGCATGGATTGTCTACATAATTTATCAATTGCACAAGAGACTCATCTTCTGCGTTTGCTTTTCGCACGTCGTCGAGAAGATTTAACGACGGAACACTCACTTTTCGTGTTGCTACAGCGGGATTACATCTACTGTTGTGTCGAGCAGTCGGATCAAAATCGGGCCGACGAGAAAGAGCATCAGCAACAACATTAAGTCGTCCTGGTTTATAATCGACGGAGAAGTTGTACTCCGCGAAAAACGACAGCCACCTCGCCATTCGTTGCAAGAGGTGTAGACTGTTTAAGGCCGTGCGTAATGACGCATGGTTGGTATAACGATGAAGGGCCTATCGCCTAAGAGATAAACCCAAAGCTTAGCCAGTGCATATTTCATGGCAAGGAGTTCCTTGTCATGCACCGGATAATTTCGCTCAGATGCTTGCAGCTGACGCGATTGATAATAGACGACGCGATCAACGCCGTCTGAGTCGTACTGTTTTAACGTGCAGACGATTGCAAAATCGCTGGCGTCACAGACTACGTGGAATGGCCTATCCTGATCTACACTCGCCAACACAGGCGATTGTATAAATCTTTTTTTGATGCCCTTAAAAGAGTGCTGACACTCAACGCTCCATGACCACCTCTCGTTTTTCTTTACAGACGAGAGAGATGTACGGTCATCTCGGCATAATTGCGCGAGTACTTGTGCAAGTACACCGCCAAGCCAAGGAACTTTTAAAGTTTCTTGACGTCGACTGGCACAGCCCAGCCGCTAATCGCCTTGATCTTTTCCAGATCAGGGCGTACGCCGCTTTTACCCACGATGCAGCCAAGAAGTGGTATTTAGTTCGCTGCAAATATACATTTCTTGAGGTTCGCGAACAGCTTATGCTCTCGCATTAGTGTAAGAACCTTCTAGACGTGGATTCTCTGAACCTCCACGTCCGTCTTTCCATCCATATCCCGGCTATGGACGAAGACATCGTCAAAGTAACTCAATGCGAAATCGCGCTCCGATCGCAACAGATTCATAACACATCTGTTGAACGTTGCAGGGACGTTACTTAGATTCCGTGTCATCACTAGCCACTCCCAGAGCACACCACTGGGGGTGCTCACTGCTTTGTACGGGATGTCCCGTTCACGCATGAGTTTCGGATAGAATCCGTCCATAAGATCCATGGACGAAAAGATGATACATTTTGCCATACCATCAATGATGACGTCCTTCCTTGGTAGCGGCGTTTGAGCCGGTACTGCTGCAGCGTTCAATTTGCTGAAATCGTGCACTATCCGCCACCCTTCTGTGGCATTTCGAACACAGAAGGTCGGAGAGCTGTGTGGGAATGTTTCTTTCCTCACATGACCAGCCGCTAAACGATCGGCAAAGAATTTGTCGATCGCTGTGACCTGTTCACGAGGCAGTGGCCACTGCTCCATGACACAGTATTTCGAACCAGGTTCCAGTTCGATCTCATGCCGAGTGCATTTTTCCTCTGACAGCTCGCATGGCACGGATTCAGGGAAAATCCCTGAGTTCAACCAAATCCTTGTACTAAGGATTTGTCTTCAATGACTCCCAAGATTGAGACGTGTATCGCTCAATCTGGGTATTCTCATCGAGGACACTCTCTTCCAATGATTAGCTACTGAGAACCCGTTTGCTCTCAGTAAACACTTGTGTCGACCGAATATCGGCGACGTACTCTTCCTCTGTGACGAGTACGCAGATCTGCTTGATCGTGTCACTACGCAGATCGTGCAAGAATCTTTTAGATTCTATCGTTGGCAACTTTATTGCCTCCGAAGCTGACTTTGGATGTGTAACCAGATCAAGCGTATAAGTGCCTACACTTGATCCGTCATTCACCAAGACATTCACTGTCTCGGTGATTTCCTGGGAAAACACATTCGCAAGTAATTGGGGAAATACAACCTCAACATAACTCTCGCGGGAGTTATTACTCTCAGGAACGCTGGAACTTACGTCCAATACGTGTTCTGACTGTGGAAGCACTACCATAGTCATGTCCTCTTCGATTGACTCTCTGATAGTCAATCTCGCTGTAACGTGTTGTTCATTCTGAACACACTCATCCCTCTTCTTGGATGCACCCTTCTTGGTGTGCATCCGTGCTCCAGTCCACTCGACGTTTTTGAGCTATGAACCTTCGACGCATCCTGTTTCTCTACACAGATGCAGGAAACTGGTCCCACAGTGTAGCGGCCTTATACACTGTGATCTTGTGCAGTGGTTTTAACGACCGCACTGCAAGTTAGGCCATCGCACTCACTCGTAGTACATCCACACGCTTGTGGACGCTCCAAGACGTTCATCAGATGGCCATCCGATGTACGAACAGAAGGAATCTTCACGGATCGATGCTGCCAGCTAACCCATGGCCGGTACTTTCTAAGCCATAACAGAACAAGGATGACATCAAATTTGTCATCCAGATCCAGAACGAAGAAGTCGTCATCGTACTGCTTTCCTTCTAGCGTGTAGTGGATTCCCACTACACGTTTGTTCACTGTTACGGATGCGCCTGAAGCAAGGCATACCGTCATCCTCGTTGGAGGGGACTCTCACTCAACGTAGTTAAGACTACTATCTTCTAGCGACTGGCGTCGAATAAAACTGTTCGACGCCCCACAGTCAACTAGGGCGCGAAGTGACATTACACTTGTCACTTCGGTCATTAAAGTGATGGGGGACACCTCATCACTAGGGGCAGAACCACACAGCGACTGTGTGTTGGGAGCAATCTTCGTCAAGAGTCCTGCTAATTCTCTTGACAATGCTAGATCAGTAGGGTGCTCCGCCCCTACTGACCCTGACCGTTTTTTGGCGGTCCGACTTGCTGTCGTGGTTTAGCGACATGGTCGAACCCGCGTCTCGGACCTTTCCTAGGCCAACGGCGGTCACCACGTCCTGCCTTTGGACGAGTTGCGGTGCTTGGTACACTACACTCATGAGCTTAGTGCCCAATCTTCTGACAGCGAAGGCATCTTGCCGATCGCTTGTGACTAAGATAGCGAGAGTTCTCGTTCTTGATGTAACAGAGGTCCATTAATTCGATACCTCTTGTTTCGCGTCGTCTCGTCGGACGATAATTTGACAAATTAGCCTGAGACTGTCTCAGGATGAAGTCTTCTTGTTCCGCGTACGCTATCGCCTATTCCAGCGTATGAAAGTCCTCTCGGAACGTGTCGGTCTTTATTGTTCCATCTACAAGGTCGTAGATGAACACGTTGATGAGTGCATGCTCATCAACAGGGTATTCCGTGACGCTATTCTCAAGGTCGCGTAGGTGTTGTAAACAAGCATGCACATCACGCTTTCTTGCTCAGGCCTCAGGAGTGCAGAGCATGCTCTGAACTCGGTTCTCGGCGGCTCAAACGTCTCTTTGAGCCGAGACTTCAAGATATCTAATGACTCAAACAAGCTTTTGGGTCGTGAAGCTCGAGCCTTAAGGCCCAAGTCTTTGCTCGTCCCATCAAATTTGACAGGGCGAATGTGACTTGCATCTCTTCACCCTTGATGTGACGGGCCCTTATGGCGTTGTCCAAATCGACAACCCATCTCAAAAGGAAATCTTCATTGGTTCCCTTGTACCTTGAGATATCTATCTTCAAGGTTTTGTTCGGGTCGACGCGTGTGCGTCGTGTGCTTATTGATGAAAGTGCTGATGGAGTGTGTGCATTACAGCTACTCGTTGGTGTTTGTTGATGTCTGTGAGAGACGAGGATGAGAAAAACGGGAGACGGATGATAATCCTGCCCGTTTACGTCGTCAACCACAAAGTGCGGCCGACGGCATTTAATTGATCATTGAAACGATGACTGAATTTGAGGGATCCCCCTTTGCCATCAAGACTAGAAGATGACCACAAACTCTTACTTTTTCAGTTGACCACGTACTACTGATGAGAACCACTTCCAAATAGTGCTTGCTGAGGTGCGAGATTTTAGCTACTCCGAAGTGTCGAGCATATACTAATTAGCCGTCTATTTGGCCTTGGTCACTCTTGATCCAATTATTTGCGCGTGTGTGACTAAAGCTCCCTGCGCGGTCGCAGTTCGTGACCCAGTGATAGAATTGCACCGACAGGCTACATTGCACTTAGTGTTATTTGTAAGGTACACCCTGGCTTTTTCATCAGACAGACAGAAAGCGTTTCTTGAAAGTTGGTATTTACAACTTGTGCACAGTCACTAGCAGCTTCACCCTTCGGGTTCTCAACGGCTTTTAAGCATAAATGGAATGTACAGACGATCTCAGTGCAAAGTACGTCCTGTTTAAATAATACAGAACGGGGTGCTGTTACGTAATTTGACGGTGGATGTAACGGGGTGAATCGTTACATAACAATTTATAAGAAATTGTTAATAGAATATAACTATCAGAGTTATATTCTCAGAATATTGTCATAAGGACAAATATTCTGTAGCACTTACGAGTAGTTCCTAATTGGTTGATGTAGGCCATTATATCAACCAACGAAGACGCGCCACGACAGACGCACGCAATGAGTGGTGAGCAGACAGTTGCTATGCACATTTCTATTCAAACATAGTTAGATGAGGATAAATAGTGATTTATTGCAGACATTAACTATACTAAATACAGTTCTACTTTTTACTTTAACCAAGTACTCGCTTCTTCTTACCGTCTTCCTCTGCACGTACGAGTGTACGTGAAGTTACGAGGCACCGCCTTATTATGTCATCAGAATAAGTAGCTTGTACTGTCAACAGTACAAGCTTCAGGGTGCCCCGTTACACCTGGTAGCACTTCGTAGTCCGTTCAAGGACCACGTTCACATCCAACCTGAATATGTTGGATGATGAAGATGACCAAAGCTTTCACGCTACGCGTGACGGCTACTCCCATTTGAGCGATGTCGAATGGGATGCGGTTGAACGAATGGGTTCAACCATGGGCATCCATTCTGTTAGCGTCATGCTAGAGGCTCTCAATAGAGATGCCCAACATGCTACTATCGCCAAGTTCATTCAAAATGAACTTGACGCAGAACGCGAGAAAGTAGCCTTGCTTCACCAACAAGGTTCTCAACAAGCAGAGTTGTTGAGAGAACAGGGTGCTCAACAGTTTGAACTGTTGAGACAGCAGCAGGCTGCTGATGGCGGGTCGATGCACTCGCGTCGACCCGAAACCTTGAAGATTGACATCTCCAAGTATAGGGGAGTCGAAGAGGACTCCCTCTTGAGATGGTTCGTAGAATTGGATGACGCCATAAGGGCGCGTCGCATCGACGACGGGGATATGCAAGTTGCATTTGCCCAGTCAAATCTGGCAGGACGTGCCAAGACTTGGGCACTGGGGCTCAAGTTGCACGACCCATATGCGTTTGGGTCGTTGGAAATCTTCAAGTCGCGGCTCAGACAAACGTTTGAACCGCCTAGAGCTGAGTTCAGAGCCCGAACCGAACTCTTGAAGCTCAAGCAGGGTAAGCGTGATGTGCACGCTTACGCGCAACATATACGACATCTTACAAGTTGTATAAGTTCCAATCCGGTGGATGAACACACGTTGGTTTCGGTGTTCATGCAGGGTCTTGCGGATGGTCCCGTCAAGACTCACCTGTTCCGGCTTGAACTAGATTCACTAGAACAAGCCATTTCCATTGCGGAGCAGGAAGACTTCAGTCTGAGACAGGCTCGCGCCAGCTCGACATCATATCGTCAACCGAGACGATATGACAACGGAGGTCCAGAGCCGATGGAACTCTGTTATGTAGAGAGCGAGAAGGTTCGCTCTACAGATTACAACAAGTTGCAGAAATGCAACAGATGTCAAAAGACAGGACACTACGCTTACGAGTTTTGTGCCCCTCGTCCAGTGTCTCGCAACACTGGGCGTAGTGACCGTCCACCCATGAGAAAGGGGCAGGGACGAGGGTCCACTGTTGGTGCAAAGACGCAACAACGGGATGGACCGTAAAAAAACGGACAGGATCAGTAGGTGCGGAGCACCCTACTGGTCCAGCAACGTCAAGAGAATTTGTAGGCCTCTTGATGAAGGTTGCTCCCAACACACAAACGTTGTGCGTTGCTGCTATAGGTAATGAGATCTCACTCATTACCTTGAAACTCGAAGTGACGAATAAGTTGTCCCTTCGAGATCTAGTCGATTGTGGGGCGTCCAACAATTTTGTGCGACGCCAATCGCTAGAAGATGGTCACTTTAAGTTCAGTGAATGTGACACACCTCCTACGAGGATGACGTTACGTCTTGCGACAGGCGCATCCGTAACCGTCATGAAGCGTATAGTGAAAATCCACTATACGCTAGAAGATACCCAATATGATGATGACTTTATCGTATTCGATTTGGATGACAAATTTGATGTCATCCTTGGAATACCGTGGCTCAGAAGGTACGATCCACGAGTAAACTGGCAACATCGAACAGTAAC